AATTATAAACACAAAATATAAAGAGTAAGAGTCCAGCCCCCTCGCCTGACCAACGTAGGCCAAAACAGGTTCCTTGCCTCGAGTCACACGGGGAGGAGGCCATCAATCCAGCGCGGGAGCCGGGAGCCCCTGGCTTCCGATCCCGCCTCTTTCGCGAAAGGACCTAGAGGAGCCCGGCCATTCGGGGCTTTCCGCAGCCACCACCCTCAGATGGCCACTGCAACCCAGCACTCCAGACACGTACTAAATACCAGTTTTTGCGGCTGATTCAAAAGTGACCTGGGAACCTCCCCTCACCGTCCGTTACGGGGTAAACACTTGAGACGGAACATTGAGTCGAATCCGTTCTGCACTGCTTTCACATCCCGGCATTTTCCAAACGTTAGCAACCCGCCGCTTAACTCTTGCATGTCAAAGTAGAGTCGTAGTTGGGAAAAGAACTTAGGAAGTGTGCAGCTTAGGGAAACAAAGGTTACAGATGAGCTGCGGGCCTTTCCGCGTGAAGTCCGGCTCCTCCGCGGACAATCCTTGCCCAGCACTGTTCTGAAAAGAATTTAAAATTTTCTTCACTTGGTACACCGGAGACTATTTGTCATGCTGATTTGTCCTTATTCGTAGTGTCAATTATCATTTCATGAAACTGAAAATGTGACACTGGAAGACACCTCACAAAACACAAAGCCTAACTATTATGGTATTTCTGTTTTGCCTCAAATTAAGATTATGGATGTGGTAGAAATTTTCCACAATATTACATCAGAAATAGGAGGCATAGTTTACGGGCCCAAGAGACAGATTGAGAAAAGTTTCAAGAAGCTATTTTAGTTTTACTGCTTCTGCCCAGTTACTACTTTCCCACAGAGGCCCCCACTGTTACGCCTCGTGGCCCTTGCCCCACCGGACAGCACCCTCCGTCTACAACGTACGGGAACCTGTTATGTGCAGGCCTACCCCCGCCCCCAGGCTGCTCACGCCTTCCCCTGTCCCAACTAGACAGGACACACGTGCAGAACAGGAACCGTGACTTCGTCCTCGTGCTTGAGTTTTCTTCCCCACAGCTCTCAGCATAAAGTAAAACTCAAAAACATTTGTGAAACTGAATTTCTGAATCTTGACAATTAAAGAAAAAAATATATTCCCCCCCCCAAAAAAAAGAAATGGTAACTAACTAGAATTTGTTACTCACTACCATAGATTAAATTCCATGAAGGACCAAGAAGGTCTATTACACACGGTTCCTTCTCTCAGGGCACTTATGATCCCATTGGGAAGAAAGTGCAAAAAACATAAAGAAACATAGGGAGATACGTAGAGACATACATTTCACTCATTGGCTGGAAGACCTGCCAGAGTTCAGAAGAAAGAACAATCAGTGAGATCTGTAAAAGTAAGAAAAGCTTTTAAAATAGACGTAGAGGGGCGCCTGGGTGGCGCAGTCGGTTAAGCGTCCGACTTCAGCCAGGTCACGATCTTGCCGTCCGCGAGTTCGAGCCCCGCGTCAGGCTCTGGGCTGATGGCTCAGAGCCTGGAGCCTGTTTCCGATTCTGTGTCTCCCTCTCTCTCTGCCCCTCCCCCGTTCATGCTCTGTCTCTCTCTGTCGCAAAAATAAATAAACGTTGAAAAAAAAAAATTTAAAATAGACGTAGAGTTGGTATGTGGTGACAGAGAACAAAAGGAACATTCTGAAAACACAAAAGACACGGAAGCAGGAATGAACCTTAGCTCGTTCCTGGAACAAAGAACAGAGCGGTTTAATTAGCAAGGGGGGCACAGTGTGAGAAGAATCCTGGACGGTCAGGAAACAAGAGCCCAAGGCCAAGCACGGAACTCGGAACGGCAGAGCTTCATGAAAATGTGTCCGGAAAGGAAGGATGGGAAACCGTTGCTTCAGTTCTTCCCAGTGCCCGGTTCCTAAAAATCCAACGTGTTTTCCATATTGATATTTAACTCATTATTTTATCTGGGGACGTCAACTGGAAAACAGGAGGCAAAATCCAAGTCTTCCTGTGACAAAACAGCTTCCCTATTTTTCTTACAAAGGCTAAACTACTGGAAAAGCAGTTTGAGGCAGGGAGGGTCTTAATGAGCTGCTCGAGGGACCAAAGTCTTGTGTGTGACTCATGTGAGCCACTTAAAATCAAGCCACCCAGAGGATGTCCTGAATTACCCAAGATGCCATCTGGAAATGTAACGGTGCAGTGTTTGTGACGGCATCTTCCAGCACCAGGACTCTTCCCAGATTAACCTTTTGTTGTTTTATTCTGGTCTAACGGTTCTCCAGTGACCGTTAGGAGAAACGATTCTGGAGATGGCAGACAACCTCAGAAGTCATGCAACTCGGCCCCCCCTCACTTTGTAAAGGAGAAGGCTGGTGCTGGGCAGCTGGCCGACTCTGGGTCCACAGATCGGTACTGACCCTTCACGTCTCTCCTTTCTAGGAGACAGACACACACCTAACTAACCCTTAGTGACGTTAACAACCCCCAGGACCATGCTCCCTGTGCACGGACTGTATTTTCTATCTTCCTGATGCTCTGGCATTTGGGACCTTGCTCCTGGAGAGAAAGTCCCTCCCAGGGCAAGCTAATTCCTGGAGACAGCAAACTCCCCTTGTGTGAGCCTACCTTCGATACACGAGCAGCCAGCCCAGAGCCCGCACCCAGCCACCTCCTTCATCAGGCTTTCGCACGCCAAGCCGATATTGCCCTTTCCCCAGGTCACCCCAGGGCCAGGTACCAGACAGCTAGAGACCATCACGGGGCCTCCCGTTCCTAGGGATCTGGGAGCATAAACTCCTTCCTTCGTGGTGACCACTTCCAGGTCTCCGCGTCCTCTCACCACATCTGCTTAAAACAAACCCCAACTACAAATCTGAAGATGCCAAGCCACGGTCCTGCCCCTGGGAGGCTAAATGATGGCAGTGTCTGTTAGGGGCCACGGATCTGCGGGCACAAAGATACCCCTGCTTCTTAAAACATCATTTTTCTCTGCGTACGTGTTGCCAGAGGGAGTCATAAAAAGGGTATCTAATTAATTCCGAAGAAAATCAAGCAAATCCTTGTGATTCAGGAGCTGGCAGTGATGGGAAAACAGCAGCTGTTGCCACCCACACTCCATTCATTGGTCAGGGAACATTCACAGACCTTCAGATTAGTGTGGTACGGCTAGAGCATAAAATAGAAGACGCATGGGGTAAACTGAGGCTAAAGAGGCAGGCCACAGCCAGATCACACAGGGCCTTACATGTCTTTGGAGTTTATCCTATAGACAATGTGGAGTCACCAAACACATCTGCAAAAGAGAGTGAGGGATCAAGTCGGCCGCTGGAAAGATCATTCTGGGACCAGCTGGAGGTATAAACAAAGTTCATTTTAAACAGGCATGACGCATGTGAAATTAAGACTTTTAAAATTCTTAAGAGATTTTTAAGAAAATACAAGTGATTACATAAATATTCTAAGTTTAAGGGTCAAGAAAATCTTGGAAACCAAGGATGAAAACTCAGCTATTTTAAAAAAAGATAAACTTAGTTTTTACTAACAGACTGAAAACTTTTGTACGGAAAGCACAGCATAAACAAAGTTAATCGACAAACGACGCATTTAGGGGGGAATTCTTCCAATTCAGAAGACAGAGTAGCTCTGGCATAGAAAGATCTCCATCATACCAACGACTAGGGGATAAAAAACACAACAGAAAGAGGTACAAGACACACACACCCCCACTTCACAAAAGAACCACTCTAAATGGCCAATAAATGTACAGAAAAAAGTCTACATTCACAAGTAGTCACGCAAATGCTAAAGGAACAATGAGACAAACAGCGTATATCTAAGAGACTGACAAGTCAAAAAGTAACACACATCTGCTGGCAGAAATGTGTGTGCTGA